AGCAGGGGAAGGTCCACCTCCACGCTCACGTATGTGACTGTCAGCAGGTGTCAGTCCTTCAAGAGCTCATGGATTTGAGGGCTGTTGTTTCTTACTGGCTGGTACCCTGTGGCCACACTCAGTTCCTTATAGTGTGGGCCTCTGTAGGCAGCTAACACAGAGGAAGCATGCTTCATCAGTGGGAGCGAAGGAGACTGCGATAGAGTCCCACTTGTCCCCACTCTGTTGTCTTCATCTTACCCTTCTCTTCTTCCTTTCCCTACCTCTAACTTGCCTTCTGCTTTCACTTCCACCCTTCTCCCTCTCCTTTCTCCTCCTGCCTCTCCTTTTTTTCCTTCCTGCCTACCTTTTCCCTGCTTGTCTTCTGGAACAGTCATCAGATATGTGATGGGCCTACCAGCCCATTTCATGATTTTCTGTACCTCTTTTTCACTTCCCAAGTTTTTTGTCATCTATTTGTATGTCCTGACTTACGTTTGTGTAATTTTCCCCAGTCTTAAGCTTATAGTTTTCATTTCTTTTTATTTGGAGATTTTAAATTTATCATATATAACTTGGGGATTTGCTCAGTTTTAAAAAGATTTATTTAAAAAAAAATGTGTGTTTGAAAGGCAGAGTTATAGAGAAAGGGAGGAGAAGAGGGGAGGGAGGAAAGGGAGGAGAGAGAAAGACACAGAGAGATACCTTTGTTTATTCTGCAAATAACCACACTGGGTAGAATTGAGCCAGGTTGAAGCCAGGAGCTTGGGCCTCCATTTGGATCTCCCACTTGTGTGGCAGGGCCCCAAGTAATTGGCCCATCTTTTGCTGCTTTTCCAAATGCATTAACAGGGAACTAAATCAGAGATGAAGCAGCTGGAACTCCAGCCAGTGCTCATGTGGGTTGTCTGGGTCCCAGGTGGTGGCGTAACAAGCTGTACCGCTTCACTGGCCCTGATTTGCCTGCTTCAAGTTCATAGTTCATTTTTTTATAAATGAGAAGCTATTCTTTCATAATAATCTGAGGAACATAAACGTATCTAATATATATATTTAAAATCCTTTATCAAATGGATAGCTGATAATGTTAAGAATGAATTATATATATGTAAGAAACTTTGTAGAAGAGGGTGGAGAGTGGAAGTGCCAGAAGATCCCTTAGTTTCTAATTGGAGAAGCTTGGTGATAACCATAAGGGGATTTATTATACTGCTCTGTCTTGTGTTTAAGTTTTTCCACAATAAAATGTCTTAAGCAGTGCTTTGTCACGTACTTGTCATAAAGTTGATTTCTTCTGGAGTGAATTGCTGAGTTCATAGGCTGTCTTTCTAAGAAGTTAAACATCTTTTTATATATCTGAGGTTTGTTTTAAAGGCTCATTTTGAGTGGAAGTATGATTTTTGCCCTGTTTTTTTATTTTTTTGTTTTTCTGTTTCCCGCGTCCTTTTCTCCTGGCTTGGCATTTCTATAGTTGCTTACACCTGCACCCCAGTTCAGGGCCAGGTCTGACTACAGCCTCTTGGTGGTGAAACTGGGGATAGTACAGAACCAAGAACTGAACCAGTGGAATTACAGGCTCATTGGTGGTCAAGGGGCTACTTGTGTACCTTCCGGATGCTTCTGTTTAAGCAAACTCAGAATCATTGTCGTATCTCAGCTTCTTAATGCGACGGGGAGCTCTGGACCCCATGTGTCCAGTCTGGCTGCCCCTTCTGCCTCTGTGGAATATGGTTTTGAATCCCCTAGGGTAAAGACAGATCCTGGCCTGCTCCAGACCCAGGACCCAGCAGGTCTGGTCTTGAGCCCAACCCACTGCTTGGTATACCTGTTCTGTATTGGATACTTTCATCTTGTTTCTGAGCCTGTCAGTGTCTTTGTGGTTGTCTTTCTGATGTGTTTGGAGCAGGGTGGATGCATCAGTGTGTGAACTCTTCATTCCATCATGGCTGGAGGAGGTCCTTGACTCCATCACAGAAGATCCCTTCAGTTTGCCATTCAAAGGCCCTCATTCATTGAGCGCATTTTCACAGTGGTGATGTTTTATCTTTGTATTAGAGACAATTTACATAATTCCGATTTTTTTTTCCCCCAGAAGACTTTCTTGGAAATCTCCTTAGAGAAAACAGCAGCCTGCTACCCCCCCCCCCGAGTGATTCTGTCTTCTGGTCTCCCTGGCACATATCATTCCGAGATTGCCTTATTTATCTGCACACGCATTTGCCTCTCCCACTGGGATCTAAGCTCCACGAGAGCAGAAGCTTTCTCTCTGGCTTCCCTGTTGTAGCCCCGATCCCTTTGCAATCGTGTCTGTCACAGAGGAGACGCTCTATAGCGTTCTGATAAATTACAGAGCCAGTCAGTGAAACCTGCCCGTGCTCCTTAATCCCAGTGCCATGCTGAGAGCTGCGTGTTGCGTGGCCTCTTGTGAGTGTTAGGAAGCAAGTATTAGGCTATTGCGCAACTGTGTACGGAGACCAGTCTGCCCTCCCTCGCTCATCAAAACTGAATCACAGAGGGTATGTTCTGGGCCAGGCATTGACATCCAGACATTTGTATCACGTTCCTTTTCCCTAGCTATTTTCAATATGTGTTCTTCTGTCTATTGTCAATCACTGGAATTTTACTGTAGATCTCAGAGATTAATAGAGCTGGTGAGAAGTGTCTGGTGCTGAATGAAACAGAAGCAGAGAGCTAGCCACCTTGCTGGCTCACCTGTAATGGAAATCAAGACTTTGGAGAGAACGGCACAAGCCAGAGCGCTTCCCTACAAGTGGGAGAGACAGACTCCCCCTCTCTAAGCAGCTCATTACATCGTTCAGACTTAGATTACCTACTTGTTGCAGCTTGATGGGATTAGAACAATGTCCTCAGAACTCCTGCAATGCATAGGCAGTCTTCTTGTCAGAGGAAGAGCCGCTGGATGGTTGGGCACCTCTGTTCAGTGCTTTAGTTCTTTGTCCAACTCCCAACAAGGATATCTAGCTGGCCACAGCCCTGAAGCTCTGTGCCGAGCATTCCTGCATTCTCTGCGCGGGGAAGCCATCACAGTGTGTCATTTGAATGGTGGGTGGACCCTTGGATGAGACTCCTTGTCTCTGCTGCCCCACTTGTCCCTTGTAAATGGCAGTTGAAGAGCCTCATGATGGTTTTGCTTTCCAGTGTCATCTCCTTGCCTGGCTGGGATGACTAGCCAGAAAATGGCAGGTCCAGAGCCCTGGGAGATGTTCCTGTGCTGGCTGCTTAATTGTATGTGACGAGCTTCTCCTCTGATTGCACCAGGGATCCTTAACAGTTCAGTGCTGGGCTGCTAAGAGGCCCAGCACAGATTAGCCATGCTTGCGTTCCTGGGACTCAGCCCCAGCCTCCACTTTGCAAACTCCTGGGAGAAATCCCCAGCATTCAGTGTTTGTGTTTAGCTTTTCGGGAGTGTTGGCATTCCACAGTCCTGCTTGGCATGTTTAGCTCTTCTACCACTGCATGGGGAGCCAAGTTATTACTTTGTCTTTCTTTTCTAGGTAAGGGGAAAAGCCCCAGGAAAAGGGCAGCTTGCTCAGGCTTGGAACAGGCCACTTAGTGAAGGGTAGAGCTGGTGTTAGAACTCAGCTCTCAGTTGTCCAGATGGCTGAGCAACCCCTTGGCCCTAGCATCTCCCCTGAGCCTCTCCCTTTGGTGTTAAGCACTTACAGGCACCTCTGCCTCTTCAGCTCCCCTCATTGACCACCTTGCTGATGCATCCTGAAGGTTTCATGCCAGTAAGAGTAACATCGCCAAGGAAATGAGCTTTCAGAAATCCTTTTTCCTTGTTTTGCCCTTTAGTTTTGACTCAAAGCTACGTGCCAATACTGTAGTGTGCTAAGAAGAAAGTAATATGCGGGACACTGCTGACTGGCTATGCTCTTGGAAGTGGTGAGAATTCAGTGCCACCAGGGACCAGAACAGTGTTTGGGCACACTCAGCTCCAGTACAGAGATGATATGAGTGAGGGGTGTTATTCTTCTAGGCAAGTGCCAAAGCGTCCACCTCAGCCCACTGTGCTGCGTTGCCATGGTCTCTACTGCATGTGGAGGCAGCAGTGCTGGCCGTGGGGTCTGTTCTCATCAAAGGCTCCTGCAGCATGGGTGTCCCAGTGAGATCTGATGCTGCCTCAAGGCTGGTGACCCTTTGTGGAGGCCTGTGTCCCTGCCCGTTTCTGCTGGGTTTTCCTTTAATCTTCTGAACAGTCTTGTGAGGTAGGGAGGGTCACTTTTGAGGAAGTGAGGAACTTGGCTAAGTTAAGAAAATTGCTTAAGCTCACCCCCACTAGTTAAGGGCAGGGCTAGGTTTAGCCTCAGAGCTGCTGGCTCTAGGCTGTCTGCCCAGTTAGCTGAGCCCTTGTCCTGACTGTAACTGTAACTGAAGGGAAGACACTGGCCAGGAGGCATTCCAGCATTGCCATCAGGTGAGCGATGCTGGAGGTGTATACGCATACTCACTTTTTCCAGCTTAGAGATTAAATTCCGTGCCAAATGTACCTACCTCTAAAGCCAACACACAATTCTGGCCTTCCCAGACTGCAGCTCAGGGTAGCATAGCACCTCAGCCAGCCACTCTCAGTTCAGACCTCAGCTCCTCTCTGAGTAGCTGTGAGTATTTGAACAGCTACTTAGCCCCTCTGTGGATGGGTGTCTGTCTCATCTATAATGGGGCATCACACTAATCCCACCACTTTCAGCTGCATTGCAAGAATCAAAGGAAATCGTCTGTAGGAAACATGGAAAACAGCACTTGGCAGATAGTAAGCATTCAATAAACACTAGTGATTATCATCTGCAGGATCATTACAGTAATTTCCCACCTCGAAGGGTTGTTGTGAAAATTAAAACGCAATGTATGTGAAGGATCTGGCATATCATAGCATTCTCCCTCCATCATTGCTGCTCTTCTCATTGTGTTGTGAGCAGAAATGTCAGTCGCCTTTTCCTTGCAGCATAGTCCCAGCACCCACGCTGCTGGCTAACAGGGGCTTTGTTCTCTCCCACTAGGCCAGGGAGTTGGAGAGCAGAGAGGCAGAGCTCAGACGCCGTGACAGCTTCTACAAGGAGCAGCTGGGGCGCCTGGAGAAGCAGGTAAGGCTCACGCTTGGCTGCTTTCCTAGGGGCCAGATCCTTAAAGGCCGCTGAGCTGTGGGCCAGAGATTGCCTACTGGCCCCTTGGCCAGCCACCCTGTGGACACGCCCACCGGCATTCCACAGCCAGCACCACAAGCCCTGCTTTTCAACAAGTTGCATTCACAGAGATAATTGGTTTTTAATTGGTCCTTTTTTTTTTTTTTGAACGCGGCTGGCTCTGCTATAGTTCAATTTTAGAAAAGAATCACTTTCACCACAGGGCGGTGCTGAGAACCAGTATACCTTTTTCACTTCAGTTAAGCTGCACTGGATAAAAATAATAATAACGTGAGGCCTTGCTATACAAATACATTAAAGTTGTATTATTGATTTTTCTCCTGGGAGTTGGGAAGATCAAAGGGCGCTACTGCTATTCGCTCACTGCTTTTCTAAGGATAAGCTTTTGAAATGAATGAGATTTAAAGACACATCATCATGTCTTTAAAAATAAATAAATAACTAAATAAGGAAAAACCCTACAACAATTCTTGAAAATTCATTTGGTAACTTATTTATTTTTGGCTTAATTTGTTGATCATGCAAGATTTTTCAAAGAAATGGGTTAAAAATGTATGAGGGGATGGTTGGGAGGGTAAGCAAAAATGGTTCTCCCTCATGCCTGAGACAGCGCACCAGGCAACCTGAGCCATCAGCTCATTGCAGGCAAATCTTCGTGAATCATTTGTCACGGTTTGGAGCTTTGAAATTGACAGTTTGCTTGAGGGGCTTGATTTCCACAGGGGCTTTCTGCTGTGGCACACCACAACGGAGCCTGGCAGAGAGGTGGATTTCTGTGTCCCCAGGCGGAGGAGCCTGGACGACAGTTCCTCCCTGCCCCCTGCTCCATGGTCACCTACCTGTCTGCCTCTGTGGGGCTTTTAGGGAATGACCAGCGTTGGCATCCGGTGACATCCTGTAATCCATGGAATGTGCACCTCAAAGCCACTCAGAATGGCCTGCCCTTGACAAGCCAACATTCCACAGAAGAGCCACCCGCACAGGTTCGGCTGTAGCTTGTAATGACAAGGATTGTGATTTGAGAGACTGGGAACAATAACACACACACACACACACACCACCAGCCATAGCTCTAATGATCACAGTTGTCCATATGTTCATAGGCACAGATTTTTTTTGTTATGTCCCCTGCTGTCGCCTCTTGTGTTTTTCTCTCTGGGTTTGGCTGCTAGAAGTGTGTGTACATGTGTGTGCTTGGGGTGGAAGGGAAATAGCCCCACCTCCTAGTTCTTCCTCTCAAATACATATCTCCTTTGTCACTCCTCTCTATTTTGTTTCTTCTCCTTGAAACCAGTTCCCTGTTTTGCTAAGGAAGAGGAAATTCTCCTGGCTGAGCCTTTTTCCCTCATCTCTTCTTCCCCACTCATCATAACGTGAGGTCTAGACTCTTTGTATGTGCAGATGTAAGCTTTTTTTTTTTTTAAAGATTTCTCTACCTGGTGGTGAACAATTATTAAATGCTTCCAGAAGGGAGTGCAAAAGCATGATTTTTCTGGATCTTAAAATACAGCATTTTGCAGGTGATAAAGAGGAAAGCACTTTTACCATCTCCAGAAATGGAGCTTACTGCAGCAGATAGGGGGTACAGAGTGGTTAAAGAAAGAGAGAGAAAAGAGGCCAAATAGTGAGTCTTAAATGTATTAGTTTTCAAAGGGTTTTTGATTTTTTTTTTCCTTGGATAATTTTATTCCAGTAACGCCTGGGAGGATGGAAAACACACAGCACCCGACCATCTTGGTTTTTTGTTTTTTTTTTTTTCAAATTCACTGTTGCTTTTATGCAATTCTGCTTTTATTGGGTGGTTAGTCTCGGGCCTTGACATTGCCAGCTTCTGTACGCATGACTCCAGGACCTTGCAGTCATTGTGCTCCTCTTGTTTCCACCCCCCCGTCTAGTTCTCCTTCCTTGGAAGTTTAGAAAGTGGTGGTGGAAACGTCACATCACCCTTGCCCACCCAGCCCAGCTCCAAGCCTGTTCGGGCTGTGACAGAAGAGGCAGAAGGTGGGGCCCTTAGAAGGATCTCTGGGGTGTTCAGGGGCTGCCAGCTGGAATCCTGCTGCCCTTCTGCCTGTCAGGTACCAACCTGGAGTACTGGCCAGGCCTCCCCTTCAGGCTACTGTGTCTAGCAGGGAGGGAAAGCACGCACAGACCTGCACTCAACCTCCAAGGAGGAGGCGGTGGCTCCTTGACCCTTGTATGTGGCAGTATGTATTCACAGGGTGATTATTCTCGAGTGTGCAAATCATATTTTGTAGGCTTCCCATACTTGATAATCTTTCTTAGTAATTGTTCCTCACGCCCACACTGCAAGATCACAGCCAGGAACATTTTTTTTTCTATTTGGTCACCAAGAGTGGAGAGCTGCTAAGAGTGTTGGGGCCCTATGAGGACCCTCAGGGACCTGACATAGAACCCTAGACGTGGTGCCACGGATGACAACAGTGCCATTTCCCTGACAGAGAGTGATGACTGGAGACCAGTGGACCTGGGCCCCTGTACAGCTCTGTATCCCCATCCTGTGTAGTCACTGTGCCTCCTTACATCCTAATTTCTTGATCTCTTAAGTAGAAATGTTAATGCTTTCTGCAGGGAGTTAATGGGAGGACTAAAGGGGGCAGTGTCTGTAAAAGTGCTGGCGTGTGCTCAGTGCCTTACGAGTGCTGGCTCCATTCCCTAGCGCATGGTGGTATTGGGGATTCCGTATCATGTCACAATGCTCCAGGACAAGGTTATTGGATGAGTCTATGTGTGTGCATGCATAAATATGTGTGCACACGCGTGCATCTATGCGTCCTGGGGTGGAGTTTATCATTAAAGGTGCTCTCTGGGCCATGGAAGTCTCATCTCTGGGCTTCATCAGGTCTAGTTTTGCTTCAAAAATATAAAAGCCTGTGATGCTAAGAATGTTGTTTTCATTCTTTAGCCTCAAGTTGCTTATCTTTGAAATGGACATTGTATGACTAACCTGCTAGTTATTTGGGGGATAGGTGGCAATTTGTAGAAAGCAGCCACCCCCTTCTTTAATAAACATAGATCCTTTCGTGAATTCCTCATTGATCTAAGTCTGCTACCTGTTGAGCACAGCAGTTGTTCGGACAGTTGTGTTTCTGGCTTCTGATTTGGGAGGGAAATGAGGATCAAGTTCTGTATCAGAGGATCTCCCAACTTGGTACCAGCCCGCCCACTTTTACAAACTTGGCAGTCACAAATGTCAGATGGTGTTATTAGATTTTGCCCCAAAGGTTGAACTGGACAAAAGGGGGAAATTTGGAAGTGAATCTGTTCTTAGATTTCAGTTTTCCCATGGAGAATCAATCTCCCTTTCTGATTCTGTCAGATGCCCATATCCTTCCCTGCTCTTCCACCATGAGTGGTCAGCCCTTTCTTCCCTGTTTTTCTCTGTGTTTCTACTTGGGGTTACTTAAAGGAAGACCACAGGGATCCAGACAGCTCTCAGTAAATGCTGCCCATTCCTGGCACCACCGGTTTCTTCCTTGTTCCTTGGTGTATTGATCAGCACACTTAGAAAAATAGAAGCTACATTAGATGTAGAGCAGGAGGCGCTAACTATGGGATTCCACTTGACAAGGGAAGGGCTTCCAGGGTTCAACAAGCACATGCAAAGGGTTCATCCTCATCACTTCACAGCCACAATGTCATACTCTTAATGACACAGCCAACGTGGACAATATAGACAAGACCAAGTGCTGCCAAGAAGGCAGTTCACCTCTCAACCCTGTGATCTAGTGGTTCTAGATCCAGTAGCAGTGTGTCCACGGGTTCTCCAAAAAAGATGCTCTAAAAGATGCTCGTGATGGCAGCATCACTCATGTTACCTCCAAGCTATGAACAACACAACAGGTAGCTCTGGAGGCAGAGGCCTTGATGGAACACTGTACAGGAATGACAAAGAGCAATTCACAGCTCTGTGCAAAGATGCTGAGGACCCCACAGATGTGGGCTCTAAAGCAAGGAGCCAGACATGGAAGAGCACTTCCAAAGTGTGTGGTTTAATTTCTAGGAAGTTTGAAAACAGCAGAACAAATCTCTGTTATTAGCAGGTGGGCCAGTTGTTACCCTGTGTGGAGCAGTGTAAGGAGGGTGGGCAGGTGAGCAGAGCTTCCCTTTCCTGGTGTGGGTTATGGGTGCATTCAGTTGGTGACAGTTCATCTGGTTGTACAGTTTCTATAGTAGACTGTCAGTGTATGAGACTTTAAAAAAAAAAAAATGGCACGGGGCCCGGCATGTTGGCGCAGTGGTTAAGGTCCTTGCCTTGCACGCCCGGGATCCCATATGGGCGCCGGTTCTATCCTGGCAGCCCCGCTTCCCTTCCAGCTCCCTGCCTGTGGCCCGGGAAAGCAGTCGAGGACGGCCCAAAGCTTTGGGACCCTGCACCCGTGTGGGAGACCCGGAAGAGGCTCCTGGCTTTGGATCGGCATAGTATCGGCTGTTGCGCTCACTTGGGGAGTGAATCATCGGATGGAAGATCTTTCTCTCTGTCTCTCCTCTCTGTATATCCGCCTTTCCAATAAAAAAATAATAAAAATAAATATTTTTAAAAAAATGGCATACAGTTGAGAAAGGCTAGCGAAAGATGCCCAGTGAGCTCTGCCCACCCTCTAATATCCTCCTTGCTGGTATGCAGGCCTTTGCTTGGAGCCTTTTCTTACAAAACCCCTGGAAGTTACAGGCCCTGAATCACCTATCCCAGCCCCAGCTAAACCTTTGCTAAGTATCTTTTTCTTTTCTTCCACCCTGGGACTTAAGGGGTAGAGTTGCATGGAAATGTTAAGTACCTTCCCCAAAGATGCACAGGTAGACCGTGGCAGGCTGGCTGCACACCTAGATTGGGCTGCGCCCAGTCCGAGTTCCTCTAGGTCTGAGTACCTCCACTGTTGACTATTGCGGTTCCTGACTAGCTCTACTCTAGAAGGGCTGCT